TCATTTAATGGCAGACACAGAACACTGGAGTGGCCAGGGCACAGTGTGGCACTGAGAACAGAGTTGAACCAGGACTGGAGGCTGGCACTGAAATGCCAGCTGTGCACTAACTAGACACACAATCTTGGGTAGTCACTTCCTCTCTCTTGCCTTCTAGAATGTCCCTCAGTAATGATGTGGGGGTTCGAGGACCAGCATTTAGTGCCCTGTCAAGTTCCACCCAGACCTATTGAATAGAATCTTGAAGGCCAGGCCCTTGGGAATACCATGTCCCAGGTGACTGCTATCACCAGGCAGGTTTGGGAAAAATGCTGATTAAGCTAAATGAACTCCTGAAATGTTGAGGCAACTTACATGGCATCGATACAAATATTTTTTAAAAAATCCAGGTCCCATGTTCAAAAAGAAATCAATCTGCTAAATTCTCAGCCAGCTCAAAGGAATAAACATCACATGAGAGCAATGTACTAATATGCCCCATTCTGTGCAAAAACTAATGCAGCTAGTGTAGAACCTGGTGTATGTCAGGTGCTCAGTCAAGGTCAGGCCCTTCCTGCCTTCCATTGACTCAAGAAACATTTTCCATAACACAGAACGAATCACATTTTTGAGGGCAAATAGATCACTTTCCACCGAAAAGGACAACTCTGCTACATAACAATGAAAGTAGGTGTTGACCACTAAAGAGCACTCTATCATATTAGATACATTTTTTGATTCAAACCAAAGTCCTATTCCACAGGGTACAACGTGACAATGCATCTGGTATTTTCCTCTTAGGGACTGTAGACAATTATCTGAAGGGTTTCCACTGGGCAACTTGAGTACAGGTAGGAAAAACTAATCCCTGCTACACACATCAAGGAATAGGCATGGATCTCAGTGAAGGTTGTTTTAGGGATGCAGATGACCGATCATTTCTAATGATTTTTATCACTACCTTTCCATTCCCTTGAAAAAGCATATTAAAGGTGATTAGTTCCTCATCTCCCCAGTAAGAAACTGCATTTATCTGCAGATCCCAATTTCCCACATCTCTAGCCTGAGGCTGATCAGTCTTCCCCTTATGCAGCAATCCTAATGACGGATGGTGTAAAGTAAAGGTGACTTAACACTTAACCTAAAATGGGACACTTAACCTAAAGGGATAAATAAAATGATCCCTTCTTTTGTGGATAGTCCAAAGTAACCAGGGTCCCGTGTCCCCCTACACACACACACACACGCACACTCACTCTCTCTCTCTCTCTCTCTCTCTTAAATAGATCACGAGCAGAGAGGCACACAGGATCTCCTTTCCAATCCTACCATGTCAAACAGGAAGTTAGTGAACCAGTATGTGCTGTAGCCAAGGCCACTTATGTGCTGCAACCGTTTGGCTCCTGTCACCCTGTCCCGCACCACGGAGCTGCCAAACGATGCAGACAGGATAGAGAAGCCCAGCACTATGCACAGGGCAACGCCGCACTGACGGATGCTCTCCAGGCTGTAGGCAAAACAGAAGAGCTCGTCAGTTGTCAAAGAACACGGGTCTTGTTTCTGCTATTAACAATCAGGGATGAACACCATTAATTAACATCTTATACTTGGCCAGCCATATTGGCTAAGGATGTGGGTTTGCTCATGAAATCCTCTCAACCACCTTTTGAGGCACGGATTATTGTTGACAGTTTAGAGAAGGCATAACTGAGGAGCACAGTGTTGAGGGGCATTTGGGAGTCTGCTTGTGTCAAAGTCTGCTCTTGACCATTGAACCTGACTCCCAATTAAAATGAAAATCATGCCCAGAGTGGCATCTGCAGTAAGCTGTGACTTCTGCCCCGGTTGTGGCTGCTTTGCTATGCAGCAGCACCCCCAGGAAGGGGCTCTCACTACAGCTGTGCACTTGACTGGCCCACTCTGAATTCAACCACTCAAAAGACCAAAACGGTTTTGTAACATATGGAAGTGTTTTTGTAATAATATACACCATACACTTTCTCAGTCATTTTTCTACTAGAGCACTATTAACACCCTTCTCTCATGTAAACTGTGCCCCCTCTCTGCCTCCTCTTTAGGAACAGTGAGGCCACTTGTGGTCTTTCCTGTGGCCACATGATGGTACCTCTCACCACGAACAATCTGCTGCATCATGCCTGCTTTTGTACCATGTATTGCTTGATAATAGATGCCAATTAACCCATGCCTAGAGTTCTGGACAGTTGTCACAGTCTGGTAAAAGCAGAATCCTAAATAGCATCATGCAAAAGTGAGGACAGACTGAGAGCTTTGTTTCCTGCCAGGTTAACAAATTGAGGACAGAACGCCCATTAAGCAGGTTTGTGTTCTCTGATTCAATTTGATAGGTCATAGGAAGTGTGTAAATAATACTTAATTTAATTGTCAATATCTAACTAAAAATTTGTCAGCTAATGATAGAGAAGGGAGATGGTGCGGGCAGAAGCATTGGACCTTTTATGAAGACAGTAAGAACTGTCACTTAATTCTCTACCCCTTGAGCAGTGGCTTTATCATCACCCAGGATTGCCTCTGGACCGAAAAAATGTCTTGCATGAGAAATGTTCAAGGAGGCATTCCTGTTTACCTATATGAATACCAAATTTCTTTTCTTAACCCAAAAAGATGTTCTGGAAGATGTGTGGCCCCCTAAGTTTCAGGGAAATCATCCCCTTAGAATAATTTCTTCCTAGGAATACAATTGCACGATCTTCTCATCTGTTTTAAGCTCACTCAGCACACTTCCTCTTTCAATAATCATTTTTCTCACACTTTGCAAAGAAATGCCCAAGCCCTGTGCCACTAACTATATATGCTAACATCTCTCAGGGCAAATGTCAAAGAGGGATCTACATCACCACTAAGTAACCCAAATATTTTCTTCCATAGTGGGGGTCACTTCCCCCTGCCAGCATTCCTTGAACTCACGTCTTGTCCTCATTCAGCAAGGCCCCTCCATACGGGTGGCTATAGAGCGTTATTCCTGCAAAAGACAAATTACAAAGTGAGCCTCCGAGAGTCTTCTCCTGCACAGAGAGTCACAACCCCCTCCCAGCCACACAGAGCCCCTGTGCCTGCAGATGTCTCCTGCTTGCGTTCCCCAGGCCCTGGGACATGAGCAGCAAAGAAGGGCAAATTCAACCTTTCAACGCAGCTCATGGTGCCGGGATTTTTGCTGTCGCTGCTGCTGTTGAACATAACCAGCTTCTGCTGCACACGCATTAGGTGACAGCACTGTGCTTTTATCTCACCACTTTGTATTGTCTGACTAAGCATCCCAGAGGCCTAAGTAATATGTGATTCATATTTAACAGACTGAAGCTAAATAACAATATGCAAAGAATATTATTTGATGAAAACCCGGTCAGTAAAAAATTCAACTCTACGTCAAGCCAGGCCTAGACACACAGAAAACTGTACCATTTAATTAGAACAATTTTGTTTCTGGAATTGTCTGTCTGCTTTATTTTGCTTTGTTTTCACTCTTAGGCTTGTTCATCAGTGTAATGCCAGCTGCCAATATAGAGAAATTGCCATCAACTTATCAATTAAAAAGATTTTATTATGAAAGCCATTCATAATATCACACAGTGTGATATCCCCTCCCCAGCAAATTCTTTTTTTTTTTTTCCTTTTTGTCTTTTTTCGTGTCCGGCAACGGGTCGCAACCCTCAGTGTCACGCCCGCACCGGGCCGGGACCGGCAACAGGATCGCAACCCTCGGTGCTGCGCCCGCACCTCGCTCAGCCAGTGAGCAGGAACCGGTCTGTATGTGGGATCCGAACCCTCGGTGGGAGCGCCGCTGCTCTCCCAAGCGGAGCACTGTAGCAGTGCGCCACCGGGCCGGCTCCCCCAGCAAATTCTAATCCATACTGTATTAAGAATAATTCCCTAACTTCAGGCAAACAATGTGTGTTTCACCTTAAAGACATTATGAACTGCTAGAGTAATCAGTTTTCCTTTTTCTGATTGGAGGTTTCAAATGTTTGGCGCTAAATGTGCATTTTGTATGTGGAGGCCATCATAAGCACAATATCCCTGCTCCGTTTAATGTCATCACTTCTGTAATTTTCTTCTTTTGGCTCACTTTCAATTTTTCCAGTCATCTGTATTTTTCATTTCCTTATGAGGGCACATTAAATCCTTACTGAAACACCACAGGTTATAAGGAAACATAAATAACTTAAAAGGTACAACATTGGAACAGACTACACTACTCCAAAATCCCAACAGTTCTGCCACCAGGCGTCTTGATTTCTGACCATCTGCCCCCTGCTCCCCTCTTCAGCTATCCCTGTCTTCTTCTTCCATCGAGGGCTCAGCCATGTGCCGGGGCAGGCTCTGGCTCATAGCAGAAAGAACAGCAGGAACTATTTGATCAGCAAGCCCCCACATAGTTTTCCAGAACAATTTCTTCGATTTCAAATTAATATCATGCAGTTATTCTGTTCCAGGCTCCCACTGCATGTGCCTAATGCCTGCTGTGTGGCTTCACATATCCTAGACCTGACTTAAACATTCACCATGAAATGGGTGGTCTTGACCCTTTTTCTGTCTGGACCAATAACACCCACCAGTCTTTACCTTTCTTTTGCTACACATGGTGTCCGAACCCTCTCTGTACAGCATCTGCTGGCCCCATCCTTCCTAGCTAAAGGGCTGACTCTAGGCAGAGTTTCACTTGGCAACCTGCCCAATCTCAGTCAACCCTATCAGGCATCATACAAGAGCTGATTGGCATTAGACAGAGCTCCTGCCAAGGCACAGCAAGTGTCACACTGGGTGCCATAGATGATGGGAAAACAGTTGCTATGTTGTGTGTAATTCTGGACACCGCATATGAATGAGAACATTATAGATTACAGAAAGTCCAGAAAAATGTGGTTAGCTGAGTGGGTTCTGGGAATTATATTATCTTAGGAACAACAGAAAAATACTGGAATTGTTAAACATGAAAATACACACACACACACACACACGCAAACACACACACACACATTATCTGGAGCAAGAGGGAGTAAGAAAATATCTTCAGAGAACTAAAGAATCATCATGAATCAGAGGAAGTGGACTCGGTCTGTAACATTCTGGAAGGAGAAGTTGGTCCAAGGAAGCAGGTTCAAAAAATTAACAAAGCATAGATTAGAAGTGGAGAGAGAGATCTGGAGAGATCCAGGGAGAAAGATCTGGAGACTGAGTTCAATCACGTTGCCAATAACTTACTCAATCATAACTTTTAATCAACCCCCAGTAAAACCTTTGAAAACGGAGGCTCAGCAGAGCTTCCAGTTGGTAAACACATGGATGTTCTGGGAGGTGATGGGCCCAGATTCCATGAAAACGGAGCACAGAAGCTCTGCATCCTTCCCGTCCTTACCTCACTTTATGTGTCTCTCCACTCAGCTGGTCCTCTTGACTTGCATCCTTCACAATGAAACTAATGCTTTCCTGAATTTTGTGTGTCATTCTAGCAAATTATCAAACTGGGTTGGGATTTGGGAACCCTCAAATTTATAGCCAGTCAGTCATAAGTGTAGGTGGCACTGGGACCCTCGAAGTGTAGGTGGCATCTGAAATAAGGGCAGTCTTGCTGGGGCCATGCCCTTTGACATGTGGGGTCTGCGGTAACTCCTGATGGTTAATGCAGGAAATGAGTTGCAGTCCACCTAGCTGGGGGTGAAACGGACCACCTCTGCAGCTGGAGGTTTACTGTGCAGCAGAAATGTAGGCATGGCCAGGAGCTTCCCTCTGGGTTCTTCTTCCCACGTCCTCACACTCTCCCTGAGTCTTCTCAAGCTTCCCTTCATAATCAATGATATTTCCTACACACACACACACACACACACACACACACACACACACACACACACACACACACACACACACACACTGCCAGTGTGTTAATTCCAAGCAAAACCCGTCATCAGCACGTGATGCTCTCCTCCTCCGATTTCCCCACTACTGTTGATGCACCCATCATCCTCCCAGTCACCCAGACTCAAAAGCTACGTGCTCAGCTCCTGCTCTTCTTCACCCCATATGCCAAAGACGTTGTCCTCCACCACACTCCACCACCACATGCCAGGCCTCATCCATGCACTGCACATGCCTGAACAGTCCCAGCCTGCACTGCCTCTCAGTTTGCTCCTGCCCCAAATTCATCAATTCCCCCTGCCCAGCAGCCTTGGATAACTTCCAAAACGAAGGAGAAAGAAAAATATGGAGTCTATATTCTTTACTAGACACTGGTGCCCTTTACAATAAAGTCCAAAACCCTCATGCCACCCTACCCTCCTACTTCTCCCACTTGAAAAACTGGATTACTATCAGTTTCCCAAACTTTGTACTGCAGGCATGGTTCACCATTTGCTTATCCTTCCTTGTTCACCCCCTTGTGACCCCACTCCCATCTCATGTCTGATTAGGTGAGGACTTCAACTTTGTTTTTTTATCATTATTGCTCTTGTTTTGTTTCTAGCTTTACTGAGGCATAATTGACAAATAGAAATTGTATATATTTAAGGTGTACAATGGGATGTTTCTATATACATATACACTGTGGACGGATTATGTAGTCTAACTAATATGTCCATTACCTGTATACACTGTGGATGGGAATGTAAATTTGTATAGCAATTATGAAAAGAGTACAAAGAGCCTCAAGAAATTAAAAGTAGAACAACAATATCATCCAGAATTCCCACTTCTGGGTATATGCTCTGGTTCAAATGTTTGTCCCCTTCAAAGCTCATGTTGAAGTTCAATCTCTAATGTGGCAGTGTTGAGAGGTGGGGTCTTTAAAAGGTTATTCGGNTTACTGAGGCATAATTGACAAATAGAAATTGTATATATTTAAGGTGTACAATGGGATGTTTCTATATACATATACACTGTGGACTGATTATGTAGTCTAACTAATATGTCCATTACCTGTATACACTGTGGATGGGAATGTAAATTTGTATAGCAATTATGAAAAGAGTACAAAGAGCCTCAAGAAATTAAAAGTAGAACAACAATATCATCCAGAATTCCCACTTCTGGGTATATGCTCTGGTTCAAATGTTTGTCCCCTTCAAAGCTCATGTTGAAGTTCAATCTCTAATGTGGCAGAATGTTTGTCCCCTTCAAAGCCTGGTTCAAATGTTTGTCCCCTTCAAAGCTCATGTTGAAGTTCAATCTCTAATGTGGCAGTGTTGAGAGGTGGGGTCTTTAAGAGGTGATTCGGTCATGAGGTCTATGTTCTCATGAATAAATTAATTCATTGATGGATTAATGGGTTCTCATGGGAGTAGACTAGTGGCTTTATAGGGAAAGGAAGGGAGCACATTAGCACACTCTTGCCTTCTCACCATGTGATGCCCTGTGTCACCTCAGGACTCTGCAGAGAGTCCCCACCAGTAAGAAGGTGCTCACCAGATGTGCCCCCTCAACCTTGGACTTCCCAGCCTCCAGATCTGTAAGAAATACATTTCATTTCTTTATAAACTACCCAGTTTCAGGTATTCTGTTATAAGTGGCAGAAAACAGACTAAGACAGTACACATCCAAAGGAAATAAAATTATTATCTTTAGGAGAAATATGATTTCCATATTCATTGTAGCATTACTCACAATAGCCAAGATATAGAAACAACTTAAGCATCCATCAGTGAATGAACGGATACAAAAATACACACACACACACACACACACAGAGAGAGAGAGAGAGAGAGAGAGAGCTATGTATACAAACACACATAATGGAAAATTACTCAGCCTTTAAAAGAAGGAAATTCTGCCTTTTGCAACAACATGGATAAACCTGGAGGACATTATGCTAAAGGAAATAAGCCAGACATAGAAAGAAAAATACTGCATGATCTCACTTATTTGTGGAACTCTAAAAAGTCAAACACATAGAAACAAAGAGTACAAGGGTGCTTATTACCAGGGGCCAGGGAGTGGGGGAAATGGGGAGAGGTCATTCACAAGGTTCAAATC